TCGTGCCGCTACTACGGCACGTGGAACACTTAAACCCACATTCACTAAGCGTGTGAGCTGTATTAAACCTGGCTACGACCGCGGGGGAGGGCGGCGGCGGGGCAGGGGCCGAAGAGACACGACCACCAGGAGCGATCGCAGAAATCTTCGCTTCCTCACGCTCGGCGACCGTGGCCTCCAAGGTGGCCCTGAGGAGCCTCCGCCTGATCAAAGCAGCTCGACCCTCAACCTCCGCGATCCTAGACCGAACACTACTGGGCAACCTACACCGCTCAGCGGCCCCCGAGGCAATGGCGTCAGCCACTTCATTACCGCGCGACAACCACTCGGGAGTCTGTTTCTCGCACACATCCTGGGCGGTCTGGTGGGAGTTGACGTGCAGAACGACGATCTCGCTGAAGTCCCTGTGCTTAACCAGAGCTCCGATCTCCGCCCACAAGCCGCTCATCTCACTCTTCCCAGGATTGAGATACTGCTGAGCGTGCCACCCACGCACAACATTTTCATTATCTGAAATGTACACCGTCGGACCTGCTGACCACCTTATAGCAAGTTCCAGACACCGAAGCTCACCTCTCGGCACATATTGAACTCGTCCTGTTAGTGGTCCTGCAATCTTGGTCCCGATGGTCATGGCGATGGGGTCGGTCATCACTACCAAGCCCAGGCCGACTCTCCTCAGCGATGGAAACCGACTCTCGGGACCACCTGAGGCATCACCGAAAATGAGTAAAGGTTGAGCCAGCGTGCCGCTGCCAAGGCACTCAGCTCCAAGTGGGCATACCAGATCAACAGCTGTCCAGTCTTCTTGCATCGCTGGCGCTGGAGTAGCCGTCATATGTCTTGGAATCAACCCACGATACCACAGACATGCATCACTGTCGCCTTGTGCCAAGGCTGCTGGTACCAACTTATCTGAGTCGGTGAAAGCTTTGGCATTAGTATTGGCATTGCATAACCACCCTCGATGCTTCATGTCCTCGGGCTCCTGCTTGCACCGAAGACACAAATTGGACTTGCACAACTTCGCTTCGAACTTCCTCGTCCGCGTCCAACACCCTCCTGTGCTAATCGTCAACATGAGTTCGGCGAGCTGATGGCCATGAGGCCCTGCACGGAGCCTAGTGAGCAGCCGTCGAAGGGAATCATTATCAGCCCCGAACTCCAGGCCGGCCCCATGATGAAGTTGGGCAGCGTCCCGCCACTGTTGAAGATCAAGACTCTGCCCAAAATCAAATAAGAAATCTGCTGTGTCAACGTGCTGCTGGTCGATACTGCTATCCTGGAAGATCCAGTCGACGGGCTCGAGACCGAACTCGTCAGACCGACACCAATGCGACGGCGACTGAGGATCCCAACCTGCGTTGACCAGGTACGTGACTATCGCAGAGATTGGCCCGTGAATATATCTCCCTCGCTCATGAATTGACAAGCTCCGCACTTGCTTGACAACGTCGTCCCACACTCTACGGACTCCTGCACGTATCTGTGGGTATTCAAACCATGTCTTGAGCCATTGATTCAAGCATAACAAAGGCAGCCGAACTCCTGGATCTTGCTGAGGTGCACGTACATCGAGTAGCGTTGTGAGACATCGCCCTCGTTGTTGCGCCCCTGATACTGAACCAAGCTGCCGCCTGAGCTGCTGCAAACGCCACCCAAACGTACCATGAACATGATGAGCATACGTCGCAGCTGCCTGAGGCCCTGCGAACTCAATTTTCTTCGTCGCCTCGTAGCACTTCGACGCGAATGCGTGTCGCCTCAGCTTCTTGTTGCAGGCGGTGGCTTTCTGAGTGCGCGCCCTTCGTGATGCTCTGGCAACTCTGCGACCGCCGCCTAAGTCAACTCCGAGATAACTAACTTGAAGGACTGCCTGAATATCGATCCCTTTCTTCTTCAATACTTTAGAAACGTACTTGCTATCATTCATGCTGTCACATAAGATCACACTCTTGGGCGCCAACTTGAGCCCTGCTTGAACGACCTGATCTCGGACCAACACCACACTTTGAACAAGCGCCTTGCGAACTGCTAAGCGAGACCCTTTGTGCCCTAAGTATAAGTCATCCACCCATATACGCTGGGGTGATGAGACTCTCGCCGTGCAGAGCCTGTCCAGGATGAAATGGGTTAGGCACCGCCCAAATCGCACCCCATTTCTTAACCCTTGAATGATGCTCCTGGTGGGCTGAAAAGGGGCTGCATGAGCCCCAAATTGCGCCAAAACTCTCGGCGCCGTACATAATTGAACCTCCAGCAGCAACACTATACCAGGAAATCCCAGCCGAATGGCCGCGTCGGATAGCTTGCTTCACCTGATCATGTCATAAAATGACTTGAGGTCTAATAAGGCGCACCCGTTGGAAACCCCAAGCTTCACAAATAACTCTTGATCGACTGCTTTCAAGAAAGCCTCCTGCAGCGCCGAATTGCCAGCCACTGCAGCGTCCCAGTCCGTCGCTGTGTCGGTGGACCAGCGCTTAGTGTAAGGCTCCCGAATGAGGGTGTACAGCCGACATACAATGGGCAGCAAACCGATGATCCGATCACCACCCGCCTTCTTGGGTAAAAGACGACCCAAGACACATAACAATTGAGTGGGCCATGTGCCCGTATCTTCAATCATATTGAGAACTCCAGCCAAGGCGTCATGTCCTTCCGTAGGGAGCCTCTGGATGTCCAGAGGCGTCAGCTGATCAACGCCAAGGCCTGCTTTGCTTTTCATCCGAGCTGCGGCTTGCCGTACCTCATCGCCGTCGATAGGTGCGAGCCCTTGAATGCGGGCCCACTCCCTCATGTCGGCGAAGGCGGCACACAACTCGTCGATGCTGAACTCAGGATCATACCACAAATCATGCCACTTGGTGGCTTTCGCATCGATGACATCTTTGGGATGAAATAAATACTCGCCATTGTGAAAGAGCTCGTCAGTGACCGTAGGCGTATCCTTGATACTCCTGTGCAATACCCCTGACGCTTCCGATGACGACACCCACTCTTTGAACTCCGATAACGACTGCCGTAGTGCTTTGGCCGCAGCTCTCTTGGCGGCTCGCTGTGCCACCTGCAAGAAACTGTCAAGACTCCTTCCACCGTAGCTGAAGTTGTTGCAGAGAAAACTAACCCAATGCTCCCAATCACCGCTGTCGTTGTAGGGGAGCACTGCATGCACCCCCTCGGGGTAATCAGTGCCCAGTCGAACGCCAAGTTCTCGAAGGTAAACTAGTTGCCTGGCGCCGTTGCCCCGTTCACGATGCCGAGAAACTTTCACTAAAACTTGAGCGACTCGCGACCACCAGTTGGCAACCCTGTCTTGAAGGGGAGCCTCTCGAAAGGTAGCCGCCTGCTGTGCGCGCTGCTCCCGAAGGTGGGGATCAGCCGCGCGAGAAACAGAACTAAGAGGTACACCGTGATGACTGGATATCGTCGCCTCTAAGGTAGATACCCAACCAGCGTACAGAGCCGAGACGTGCCGAACGTGAGGCCCTGCAACTCGCACTGCTAGCGAATCATGAATGGCAGACCAGTGTGTGTAAACTTCATTGCTATCGGATGGGATGAAGCTGGATCCACAACAGGTTTGAGCCAAAACCCAACGGTCCGATGGAACTTGGAACTCGGGGTTCCGAGGCGACGATTCAGCAACAACGGGCTCATTATTTCCAGGGGCACTCTCAGCTTGACCAGCTGAACTATCTAAGCTGCTGTTGCTGGGGGGCTCTGAAACGGGCTCAGGCTGAGACTCGTCACTCAAGTGGGGCGGACCTGGGTCGGCAGCGGACACTGACACTGCAATTGAAACGCTAGGTGCGACTGAGGAACTACTATCGGCCAATGGTTCTCCAGAGGTTCCCACGACCTCCGACTGACCAGAGAACGCCGAAATAAAACAGGTTTCCTCGGCCCACGGGTCCTCTTCCTCCTCGCCTTCGACGGGAGCAAAAGCCTCAGAAACAAAAGGCTCAGGGAAAGACTCACGCGCGCCTTCTTCATCGGGGTCCTGAAACATGTCCCCGAAGAGCTCGAGCGATTCATCGACAAATTTTTCCTTGGCGACGGCTACGCGAAACGCCTTCTCTGCTTTAGCTTTGCTACTCTTGGAACCTGGGGTGGGCAGAGTGCCTGGCCGACTCACCTGCGGGAGTTTGCCTGCAACAATGAGCGAACGTGTCACTAACTGCTGGCAGCTATGACGTAACCTCAACCGCAGTCCACAGTGCGGCCCCCAAGGAACATTATGATCGGCGCGAAGGTCGACGACAAAACTCTCGGCTCCAGGACCTGTGATGACGTAATCGATGTGCGAGGCTCCCTTCGCTGTTGTACACGTATACTCTGCTTCTGACTTGCGGATCCTACCATGGACCCGCGCGAGGAAATGAGATTTCTGAAGAGTCTCTGCTGCCATATTGAAATCTCCAATGCACAGCCAAGGTAACTGCAGCGCATTGAGAAATCCACCTAACCGATGAAAACGTTGATAGTTGATGGTGCCGCACCTCATGCCCACTGACGGGTAACCATACACAAGGACCAGCACCAGGGAGTACGACTGGAAATGCACTATCACTGGAAGAAATCCGTCGTAAGCTGAATGACCGTCCGCGCATAAGTCAGGCGCGTCGTCAGGCGAAACTGGAAACCGATGAACCTGAAGATGCTGCCGAAAAAGTAGAACTTCACCTCCCTCATTGGCACGCTCACGCTTGGCCTCGGTGTTGCCAAGCCCCGTGCTCCTGGCCAAGTTGAACACATGCTTGAGCTTGCTGCTGCGGAACTTCGCGGCCCACCGCTTGCTCAACGAATCGCCGATGTGTGTCTCCACTAACCCGAAAAAGTCTATTGAATTATCAGATTGCCCTGACACCAGCGACTGGATATGCCCCCATGCCTTCTTCCCAAGACAAGTGCAGTTCGAGAAGAAGAGCGTACTGCAATCACCAGTGCTACTGCCACCATCGTTTGAAGAAATAACATCATCCAGCACTGTGCCACACCCATGCGATGTACATGTACTCGCGCTCGTGGACTGACCAGTCGCCGATGATGATGCTGTCGCTGAAGTTGCCGAACATGCTGTAGATGCTGAAGATGCCGATGTAGCAGCCGAGCTCGCAGCGCCATCGGCTGACGCGCTGCGAGGGCAGGTCTCCGCGGCGCCTCCATCCAAAGGGGCGGGCGCCGCGGGCGAACATCACATGCTCGCCGCTGCGGGAGCCGCAGCTGCAACCTGCCTCGCTGCGTCAGCACCTGCGAGCCTGGCCTCACTGATCTGCTTGGCCCTCGCTGCCAAGGCCTCTTCCGAGAGACTGCCGCTGCTGCCCGAGCTCGCGCCAGGCCCGGCTGGCGGGGGCGCTGACGTGCCCTCATGAGCCGCGACCTCGGGGCCCGTCGCCGTGCCAGCGCCAGCGGTGCCACCGCCCTCAGCGCCTCCAGCGACTCCTCCAGCCTCTACCTTCCGCTTCTTCTGCAACCGCTCCTGAATGGCCGCCTTCATGGCCTTGGTCCGCTCGACCCACGCCTTCACCTCGGACGACCTCGTGGCCATTGCCGTCTGCATGTCGCGCAACTGCTTCTCCAGCTCCGCGATCTCCTTACGTTCACCTTCCTCGCACTCTAAGTCCTGGATGGACGCGAAGAAGGACTCATCAACCTCCACGCGAAAGCAGTCGCCTTCGGCGGCCTTGTCAGGGGCCTTGCCGTCGCCCGCCGCCTGCACCTGCAAGCCTGAGGCGTTGGCGAGGGCCTTGATGGCGATCTGCTTGTTGAACTCCGCCTGAGCCAAAGTGCGAGCGCACTCCGCCTCGCGCGCCTCAGCCTTGGCTAAGGCAGCCCTGCACCGCAGCACCTGGTCCACGGACTGGGCGTGCTTGGCCTCGGCGTCCTTCCACGCGCCTGAGGCCTTCCTCACGGCCTCGTCGGCAGACACGACCGACTCCGCGGGCTTCTGCGCGGCGAGAATCGCCTGCTGACTCTCCAGGACGCGCTTGACCGTCGGGTCCGTGGTGGCCGCAATGGTCTGACTCAGCAGGTCGAGGGCGCCCTCTGGAGTGCCTCCTGCACCTCCCTGCTGCTTGCTCTTGCCCTTATGCTTAGGCCCAGGTTGGACAAGGGCGGCCGCCTGCTGCTGCTGCTGGCTGGCGTCCTGGCCCTTGGGCTTGAACAGTTTAACAGGCCTCCCGCACTTCCTGCATGCTCCTCCCTCTTGAAGCAGTACGTCGTTCCACTGATGTGTATGGCACCCAGCGCACGTGCTCCAGAGTCGTCGTCCTGCAGGCGCGGAGGCCATCCCCGCTTTAGCTGCCTCGAACGCCTACGCTCACCGCGTGGGAGGCGAGGCAGACCCCAAGCACCTCGGGACGGCGCGGGGCTGGCCGAGTGGTCGCGCGCAAAATGCGAGGAGAGTCCTGTGCCCTCCCTGCAACCGCTCGTGCCAGTGTTGCTTGAGGGAGGAGGAGGAAGAGGAGGAGGAGGAGGAGGAGGAGGAGGAGGAGGAGGAGGAGGAGGAGGAGGAGGAGGAGGAGGAGGAGGAGGAGGAGGAGGGAGGAGGGAGGAGGGAGGAGGGAGAAGGGAGGAGGGAGGAGGGAGGAGGGAGGAGGGACGAGGGACGAGGGAGGGGGGCAGGTCGTCTCAGGAGGCGGCGGGGCTTCTCAGAAGTCCTCGCGCCTTCTGGGAAAATTTCTAGGCCTTCTCGGAAGACATAGACGGCTTCTCAGAGGGCGCGATGGCTTTGAGAAGCTTTGCCGCCTTCTGAGGATGCCAGCCCCCTCTCACTCCCCACTGGGCGGCCTTTTTGGTCGTCCTGGGGTGCCCTCGAGACCACGGCTGGGTCCGCCTCGAAGTTTTCTGTTCAGGACGCACCCCAGGATAGTCTTAGGGGGGGCAACGAGTTCGAGGTTCCAGGCTTGAGGTGCGCTTTCGTTGGTTCTCGGCGTCTTCCAGCAGCTGCGCCTCGCCGAGAGCGTTCCAGGGGTTCCCAGAACGTCCCGAACGGCTGCCGGAGGGCCGAACTATGAGCCGAGAACCATGGGGCAACGCTGGGGTGGGGATAGGCACCGTGGGGATGCATCGACCGCCAGTCCCTCATTTATCGCTGATAAGGGGCCCGATGGCTCTCCTCACCCGGGAACGTGCGGAGGCGTTTTCGGGGGCCTGTCGCCGATCTGTCGGCGACGTATCGCCGATTCCAAGTCGATGTTTCCCCCTCCTCCTCCTCCTCCTCCTCCTCCTCCTCCTCCTTCCCTGTGAGCGCGTCTCCAGGTCCGTTGACGAGCGGGCCCCATGGGGAGATTGCGAAGGCCCAGCTGCAGATGAGTACGATCCCTTCGACGATCTAGACGAGTATCTCGACAGCGCGCAAGAAAAGAGGTGCAACAACCTCCAGAAGATGGCAATGAGCAGATGGCGGCGCCACAGATGGATGGCGTGACGGAGCGAGTGCAGGTGAGCTGCCCGAAGCAGCATCAGCATGAGACCACAGCTGAGTCGAAGCGAGTGCAGGTGGCCTCCTCGACGAGCTTGAAGGTTCCAGAGCTATTGGCGGACCTCCCCCGAGGTAGGCGGCAGTGCGTATCAGCGCTATATGGCAATATCGCGGAGTGGGGCACCAAGATCCATAAGTTCGTGGCGAGTCTGAAGGAGTTCAACATGTGCACGTTCGTCGAGACACACCTCGATGAGGAGAGGACCGCAGAAGTGCAGGCGTCGGTGAGGCATGACGGATGGAAAATTGTCGCCACGCCTGCCAGGGCGAGTGGACGGTCTGAATCAGGCGCGTCGGCAGGAGAGGCCATACTTGCTCGGACCCATGTTGCGACCTTCGACCTCAGCTTCTGGCGACCGCACCAAGGACCGACCGAGCAGCGCGGCGAGCCCCTTTCATGGTTTCTCGGCCCTCGCGTGGCACCCGAAGGGCGGCAGCGTGGTGATGCTCTGCACCTACCTCGACCCCAAGTTCGGACCCACGAAGGGGCCCAATCGTAAGACGCTGAGGGCGCTTGTATCCCTCGTGAGGAGCTTGGCGGACCCGTATGTCATCATGGGTGACGGAAACCACTCTCCCGACCAGGTTGCGAAGGCCCGCGTCCAAGAGTTCCTGAGGAGGGGTGGTGCTCACCCCACCGTGTGCCATCACATGCGACAAAGGCCAGGGATCCATGATTGACTTTGCGATAATCAGCGAGAGCCTGAAGGACAGGGTGACGCTCACCCCTGTCCTGGCAGTGCCGTGGAAGACCCAATGCGGCATCACAATTTCCTTCGAGCCGTCTGAGGAGGCGCTGAGGAGGCGATCTGGCACAGGAAACTGCACTTGCCGAAGGAGCTGCCGCAGGTGGGGAGGCCCAGGAAGAAAACTGATCATACGAGCAAGAGTGCGCTACGACGAGAAGAAACACGGCTTGCTCGGCGAGGCAGATTGGCACCAAAATTGCGGGAGGCGTTCGACGTGACCCACCCTCCACCAGCGCAGCCAGGGCCTCCAGAGGATGAAGTCAAGTACCGTGTCTCGGTTGAGCTCTGGGCCCAAGCGAGCGAGCTTGTCGGTGAGCCGCTTGCTTTCGCTGTGCCAGAACGAGACGGAGGCAGTGGAGCTGCGATGGATTTGGAGGGCAGTGGAGTTGCCCGCCACTGTTTGCACGCCGCTCGCCCAGATGCGACTCAGAGAGTGAATGACATGTATGCTCGTTGTGTCGCCCGAGTGGAGGTTGCCATATTGAAAGCCTCCCAGGTCGATGAGTAGGAATGGGCTCCGTTCCAGGGGCGAGCCCATTGATTTTCTTTGGTTTGGCAAAAAGCGAAGGCCTCACCATGCCTTGCCCGTCCGGTACATGGCCTTGCCGAGTGGTGGGCGATCTCCACCACGCTTTTGAAAATATAAGTTTCCCTACGGCTGTCTGGCAAAGACAAGAGGCAGCTAGAGCAGTGCATGATGAAGTTGCGCAGGCAATGCGAGCAACTCGATGGGCAGGGCATGTCGGGGCTCGTAGGCAAAAACATGCAGGAGCTCGGTGTCACAACGACTGCTTGCCTGCATAACCTCAGCCTGCAGAGGGATGAGGATCTCCCCGCGCCTGTCGAAGCGGCAGAGAGGCTCGCAGCTTGCGCGCACGCTCGCGGGATAGCCGCGTCACGCCGAGCCTTTGGGAGCTGGGAGAAGGAGCAGTGGAAAAAAAGCCAGGCATTTTGCACCGCCGCGCGAAGCAATATCCGCCTGCCCCGCTGGAATCGCTCTTGCCAGGAGATGTTGCTTTGGACCCTGCGGCCATCATGGCTGAGAAGCAGGCGGCGTGGCAAGAAACATGGCTGGACCCCGTGGATGCCCCTGAAGCCCTGCAAGAGGCCGTTTCGGGGGCGCTCCGGCGGGCTGGCGAGAGCCCCCTGGTTTCCCCTGAGGCCCCCCGCCTCTCCTCTCTCCGGCATCGGGCCCCCGCCGAGAAAGCTCCAGGGATCGATGTGCCCCGAGTGGCCGATGTGCAGCGTCTGCCGGAGCAGGGGGTCGAAGAGCTGGCCACTCTATTAATATCTAGTCGAGCTGGAAGGAGCGTCGCCCGAACAGATCTCTGCCGCGATTAGCGCGCTCCTGTCCGGGCCGAACCAGCGAGGCGACCGAGCGATCGGTATGCTCTCGAATGTTGTCAAGCTGTGGGGTCGAGCTCGATCGGGCCTGGTTGATTTTTGGAGCTCGAGGCTTGACCAGTTCTGGGGTGCAGCGGCAAAACGCAGCTCGGTCATGCGCGCGGCGTTGCTGCGCAGCTTGCTCAATGAGACAGCAGTGTTCGCAGGGGCACATCTTGCAGCGCTCTTGTTGGATTTCGAAAAATTCTATGATTCCCTGAGCCTGGTGATGCTGAGTAAGATCGCTTCTGACTTCGGACTTCCCGCCTTGATTTTCGCGTTAGAATGTGAAATCAATTTGGCGCCAAGGTTTCTGAGGAGACAAGGAGGAGCTAGCGGTGCGACAGACCCAGCGCGATCCTTCGTGACAGTGTCATGCCTGAGCGCGCCGCTAGCGAAGCTGTTTCTGTTCCCGATTTTGGACCGTGCCCATCGGCAGGTCAGGGCGTGTAGGTTGTGGTCGTTTATTGGCGATGCGGTCTCGAGGGCCGACGGCGCGGCAGACAGTGTTGTCTAATCCCCGGCCGCCTCCGCGAAAGTTAGCCGACGGTTGGCAGGGGGCGAGGCTGGTCATCTCCGATAAGACCACAGTCCTGGCCTCATCGTCCCAGGTCAGTGCGCGGATCAGTCAGGCGTTGAAGGTTGCCAATGATCCGCATGAGGTTGATGAGTCAGCTGTGGGCCTAGGATGCGACACAGGGATAGTCAAGTATAGGGTTCTCAAGCGTGCTGAGTTTATGCTTGGTAAGGCCACGAAGAGATTCTGGCGCATCAGGAAGCTATGGCGCTCGGCCAAACTGTCCAAGATTTCGCAGTCCCTTTGGGCCGCAGGTGCCCTCCCCCAAGCTGCGCGCGGGCGCCAGGTGCATGGCGCGCGCCAGGGCCATATTCAACCCCTTAGGCGTCAGGCTGGCGAGGCTATCGCTGGAACGGGGTCTGGGCACTGTCTGACTACAGTGCTCGCCGTGCACTTGGGGGGCTGAGATCCCAGGCTCGAGTAGCGGCGCCAGGTGGTCCTCGAGTTTCGTTAAGTCTTGGAAATCTTCGCCAGAGCTCCACAACCGTATCCGAGCGGCGCGGAAGCATCTGACCTTTCGTCTCAGGCCTGCTCATCGCGATTGAATCGAGTGCGAGGCCCCGTCGGCGCGGTGATCGCGTCGCTCTATGATGATGGGTGGATCCCGTTTTCCCCGGACTCTTGGCGCCGCCCGACTGCGAGCGGGAGCGAGGTTTGGAGGCTGCCTTGTGCGAGCGATGAGGGGTTCGAGCAAGGGGGCGCCGATTTCACCGAGCTACCCAGTGACCTGGCCCAGGACTTGTCGCCCCTGTGTTGGGCCCACGCTGCTTCTCATTATGGGGGTGAGGGGCTGGAGCTCGGGGGCGGGGATGTGCTCTTGGCTGGTCGCGAATTTCGCTAGTTTGTCGTTCAGGCAGCGCGCGATCTGGTAGGGCTCCAGAATGTTGCAGTCTCGGGCAGACAGTTCACTCGAGAAAGGCAGGCGTTTCTAGGATGCGAGGTTGACGCGTTGTGTCCAAGGTGCCGCCGGGGCACAGTGATTCTCTTCCACCGAGTTTGGGAGTGCCCGTGCAATGCCGGTTTTGAAGAATTTGAGAAGAGCGAGTGTATTTGGCAGCAGGCCCAGGTGCAGTGGGAAAGTTGTCCAGTCCTGTGGCTTAGAGGCGTGCCGCCTAAGAGCTACGCCCATTTTTCCCAGAAGAAAAACTTCGGCACTTGGGGCCGCTCCCGATTTCCGAGGTTGAGCCGCGCACCACGTTCGGGTGCGTAGTGGTTTTCGGAGACGGATCGGGGGGGGGCGAAGTGCGGGCCCGCGTGGGCGCAGGTGTGGCGCCGCGGTGGTCGCCGTGCAACCTGACGGCCAAAGGGGCTGGAGGTTGGCGTGGGCGTTATCGACCCCGGCCGGGGGCCAGCGGCCAACGGTCTTTCGTTCTGAGCTGCTCGCGCTTGCCATCGCGTTAGAACATGCCCACATGCGGTTTTTGTTCGTGACTGACCATGGGCTCCTCATGAGAGCTTGGGGGCGGGGTCGGCAGTTCCAGGATGTGCGGTCTCGAATTCGGGTGGTCTTCCAGTCTCGGTCGACAGAGGCGCACCTTAAGTGATTCCCTCTCACATGGACGAAGCCACGTTTCCTAGCGAACCGATCGATCCCTACTTAAGAGGCGGGGGCTGCGGCGGGGAGAGGGTAGGCGGCGTCGGTGGAAGGGGGTGAGCTTCACACAGACCACTGGGATGCGATCGGCGCCCTGGTTCGAGCGCGCGCGAGGCGCGCGCTGGCCCTGGCGTCAGAGGCCGACCCGTGGAGTGGGGTTCGGGCCTCGGTCCAACGGAGAGCGCCCCCGTCGAGGAGGAAGCTCTCGCTGCAGGCCTCCAGCCATTGTTTCGAGCTGAGCGAAGGCGCATGAAGGTGCAGCGATTGCAATATTGTGGTGCCTGCTTCTCGCTTCATCGAGGCCGCCAAGACCCAGTGCCGTGGCCTCCCTGTCTGTTCGGTGGGGGCGGGTGGCGGTGGGTTGGCGGCGGGGCGGGAAGCGCACCCCTCCCACACTGTCCAGAGGTGGGAGCAGTTCCTCATGAGTTGTTTGCACCACCTGTGGTAAGTATGCTACGGTGGATGCTCGCCACTTGGCGGCGAAGGGCCGCGATAACATAAACCGCATCGAGGAGGGCAAGTACCCCCGTAGAGAAGGGGTACCGAGGGCCCTGCAGGCCGCCCTCGATGCACGAGACTTCGGAAGCCTGGCGAGAGCGTGCAAGAGGGCCGCTGGGCCCCAGGGAGTGGACGGGTGGACCGTCCGCCGCTGCTGGGCAGTTGGTTCTCCTGCGGAGGGCAAGCTGGCCAGTGGCGGCGCGGGGTGTGGCGGTGAGGCGGGTTTCCGCCTGCACCGAAGCACCTCTGTACGGGGTCCTGCCTTCCTCTCCCTCTCTTTCTTCCCCGCACGACTGTGCTGTGTCAAATGGTCCAAAATGGTTCTCCTCCCCCTCCTCCTCCTCCTCCTCCTCCTCCTCCTCCTCCTCCTCCTCCTCCTCCTCCTCCTCCTCCTCCTCCTCCTCCTCCCTGGGAGGAGTTCAGATGGGGAACAGGCACGGCAGGTCCGCGCCCTGTCGGCGTGGCGGCGACCCCGCCGCGGGCCAGCGTGGCTGAGCACCGCCAGCGGCCCAGCATCGGCGCGAGCGTTGCTCGGCCTGGCGATTCGAACGCTTCGACCGTTCGAGGTGGGATGATCCACAGGTGTCAGGGGGGGTGAGGAGGAGACGGAGGGGGAGGCGGAGGAGGAGGAGGGGGAAGGGGAGGAGGGGGATGGGGGAGGGGGAGGAGGGGGAGGAGGGGGAGGAGGAGGAGGAGGAGGAGGAGGAGGAGGAGGAGGAGGAGGAGGAGGAGGAGGAGGAGGAGGAGGACCTGCACCCCTTGCGGGCGTCGTCCTGGCAGGCCCTCCTCGCCACTGCCGGAATTCGCCCCGAGGGCCCCGGTTGAGAACGCGCCCTGGGAGAGGTCCGGAGCACGGCTGGGCCTAAATGCTGCTTTGCTGGGCTTTCGGGCGTTGCTAGAAGTGCCCCTGGCCCGAGGTGCCCCCAGGATTTCCAAGGTGGCCCCCACGGCCTCCAGAGCACCCCTCAGGAGGCCCAGATGGCCCCAGGGGCTCCACTGGGCGAAAAGGGGGTACATTGGGAGATGGGCACCTTGAGCAACCCCCGGGACTCCGACTGTGTTTTGTTTTTCGTCTTGGCAGGGAGGTACAGGAAAACATGTAGAACAAAACGAAAAACAAAAGACGAAGACAAAACGAAAAACAGCATTCAGGTCCAGCCATCGATACCTTCGGGGCTCAAGAGACGGGGTCAATGCAAACGGGGGACAGTCAGAGCTCCCAATCTTGCAGGATCTTGCAGGGCCAGGGTCGCATTGACCCGGGTCTGGGTGCAGGATCCTGGAGGATCTTGCCGGATCCTTCGCATTGACCCGGGTTTGGGTGCAGGATCTTGCAGGATTCTGCAAGGCCTGATTGACCCGGGTCTGGATTGACCCAGGTCAGGAGATCCCCAATGCCTTGATTCCACAGGAGCGGGTCGAGCGGGTGCGGAAAGTGTCGCCCTTCCGGCACTACCGTTCCTGGCAGCTGGATGCGGTCCTCGTCAAGGGCGGAGACGACCTGCGGCAGGAGTTGCTGGCGTCGCAGATCATCGAGCAGTTCGGCGCAATATGGGGCGAGGCGGGGCTGCCACTGTGGCTGAAGGCGACGCGCACGCTGGTGAGCAGCTCCAGCTCGGGCTTTATAGAGTTTATCCACAATTCCACCTCGATAGATGCCATGAAGAGGAGCTTCCCGAACAAAAGCCTGGCAGACATATTCAGGCTTGCTTTTGCGGACAAGCTGTTCGCAGCCAAACAGAATTTCATTGAGAGTTGCGCCGCTTACTCCTTGGTCGTATGGTTCCTGCAGGTCAAGGATCGCCACAACGGTAATCTCATGATGACCACCAGCGGGCATGTCATCCATATCGATTTCGGTTTTATGCTCTCCAATTGAAATGCCCTGCGCATGCCGCCAGACCACAAACTTACCAAGAGACGTAGAGACGCCATGCCGACACACAGATCAGCCGAGCGAGCATGACAGATTACGGAGTCTTCTCTGTACCTCGCGGTGCCCTCTGCACAAGACAGCGGCGAGCCCAATGTGGAAAAGGGGGAAGTGAGAGGAGGCGGGCCTTCTCGGATGTAGGCGGGATTTCTCAGAAGCCCTCGCGCCTTCTTAGAAGGCCTTTCCCCTCTTACTTTCCCCTGGGTTAGCCGCCGAACAGCCGTTTCACTGTGCGGCGATTGTTTGTGGGGACTGTTTGCTCGTGGCTTCGGTTTGGGTGCGCATGTCTGGTTGGGCTCGAGTGAAGGCATGACCGTAGGACCTCGGGCATGCCGGCCCACGAGACGGTGCAGGCGCGAGGGTTGTTTCCCCTGGCCTGTGGCTGGAAGGTTGCTGCCACCACACGGTTGGGACGAAGTCTAGCAGGAGAAGACTACCATATGGTATCAACGTGTCAATGTGTCAATGTGTGTACGATGACGTCGTTGGTGGATGGTGCTCAGTCGGCTCAAAAGACAGAGCCGCTCTTCCTCGTGCTAGCGGGATTTACCTTCAGTTTTGCCACTCGTTCAGAGCGAACGGGAGGTCAACCTCTTCCTACCCTGTGGTACCCTCAATTTGGTGGCCTGTGCCGCGAGCAACGATTTGTTTTTTTTTGGGGGGGGGGAAGTGCGTAGGTGGTGGAGGAGGACCAGGAGAAGGAGAAGGCAGGAGTACCAGTAGCCAAGGGAGAAGATGGGCGAGGAGCAGGAGAAGGCAGCAGAAGGGCGAGGAGCAGGAGAAGCAGTGGCCAGGGGAGAGGCGGGGAAAAGGAACAGCCGGCCTGGTGGGCGCCCAGAACAGGTGTGCGTCCAGCGCTCCTTGCACGGCAGCGCCCTTCGAACTCGAATGCTGCGCACGAGAGGGCTCTGGGGCCACGCTGGCAGTGCTGGAGCTTTTCGAAGGAGCCTTTGAGAAGTCTCGTCGGATCTCGTGGGGGCGTGCGCAGACCTCATGCGAGGAGGAGGAGGAGGAGGAGGAGGAGGAGGAGGAGGAGGAGGAAGAGGATGAGGAGGAGGAGGAGGAGGAGGAGGAGGAACCCTCCTGGCCAATCTCGGGGTGGAGAAGCAAGCGCAGCCCGAGCGCGCCGTTCCTGGCCCTCCCCCTGAGTGGCCTCGGCGTCGCTCGAGCGTGCGGTTTTCGTGTTCCTGTTTGTGCGCACGAGTCATTTCCTTCTGCAGCCCAGACGCTTCCACTGGCTGCGTCCACATGCGTCCACCGCGCCCATTTCGCCCTCGCTGGATACGCGCATTCTTTCCTTCGCGACCTTGCCCGGCCCAAGCGCCCCTGGCGGCTGCAGATGGCCAGCGGAACGGCAGGGTGCCCGAGACTCCGAGGCCTGGTCGCGGCGGCGGGACGCGCTTCCCCCTGCGGCGGGACGCTGGGGGCGGTTTGGGTTGGGTCGGGGCTCGATATTCCTTTGGTCTTTCCATGGCTGTTTTGTCTAGCGCGCTTCGTCCAGGCGGTGTTGGGATCCACCATCGGCGTCACCCCAACATACTGATACCACGTGTGCGTCGCTCCCCCCCATGGGGCGACGCGCGCACCGAGGAATCTTATAGTATATGCGTCGTGGCGGGTGCTTTCTGGCCACACCGCGCGGAATCGATATACTACAATATGCATATACTACGTGTTCGGGTCGGACTCGCACCTCCAAGAAGAACATCTAGTTCTGGCATGTTTCTGCGCGACCCAAACAAAAGGTGTTTGGTTCCTTATTTGGCGTTCCTGATTGTTCACGCTTCGCGAATCCCCACCAGCCCATTCAGGGGGCCTGCCCATGAGAGCTGACAGGACATGGAGAGAAATGGCACATAGTGAAACAGAGCGTGCAAGGAGAGGAGAGGAAGGAGGGCGTTGAGCCATCTTGGAGCCTATCTTAGAGCATCCGAGGCCTTCTTGGAGCTGCGGGGCTGTAGTAGCGGATATTCGGGGTCCTCTTGGAGCTCTTTTGGGGCATTTTGGGGCACCCTTGGGGCCCTCTCCCCAAAAAGGGGCTTCGCTCATTACCTAGCGTCCCTTACTCCGGCAGCCCGACTGTACTCGATGGGCAATGCCACCGCAGACGCACCAACAGCACAAAGGGCCCGAGGCTGCCTCCGGCACATCCCCCGAGTGCTCCACGCTGCGAGGGCGCCCTGATTACCCGCGGCCCTCTTCCCACGGAGGAGGAGGAGGAGGAGGAGGAGGCGGAGGAGGAGGCGGAGGCGGAGGAGGAGGAGGATGAGGAGGAGGAGGAGGCGGAGGAGGAGGAGGAGGAGAGGATGCGGAGGCGGAGGAGGAGGAGGAGGAGGAGGAGGAGGAGGAGGAGGAGGAGGGCCCTTCCCCCTCCTCCTCCTCCTCCTCCAGCTGCCATCTGGGCCTAAGAGATTGTCAGGGCAGCCTAGACCGCCACTATGTCAGTCCACAGTTTGTGCAGACAGAAGGGGCGGCGGCCCGCCTGATGGTGGTGTGGACCGCTTCTCTCGCGGTGCTTCTCTCCAACCCGATCTCGGCAAACCCCGACAGGCTGGCGAAGATATATGAGGTGCCGAACTTCGACGCCATCATCCTGACGGGCACGTCGCGCAGACGCCGAGAGCCCGCCATCACCCAGCACCGCGTCGGCGACACGCGCTACTATGACGCGGGCTGGCAGCCTGGCGACCTGACCAACCACAGCACGGGTATCATCATCGCGCTGCAGTGCAGGCTCCGACACGCGAAGGTCATTGAGTTGCAGGAGCCGCCCGCCGAGCTCAGCGGCCGAGGACTCGCCATCACGCTGCAGCACCACGACCAGATCATCCTGATCATTGGTTAGTACAGCCCGCCGCAACCCGCGAAGGACAAGAACGCAGGCAATGCGTACTTCGCCACGATCAACCGCCTCTTTGCTTGGATGGACACGGTCAGCAAGCACAGGGGGACCTGAACGACAGCATCGGCATCGCTCTTCGGGGCGAGAGACCGATAACGACAGCCATAGGCGACGGCAGAGCACCAGAACGGCTACCAGGAGGCGTAGGACATAACGCCAGACAGCACGCGGAGCGCTACAACCTGTTCGCCACGAACATGCTGGACAGCTGGCGCCCGACCTACTTCGGCACGGCCCACGCGAACCGCATTGACTACATCATGCCACCGCAACATCTGACATATACTCTCTTTTCACAAGGACCACTTCTACGACTGGGAGCGCGATTGCAGCATATACCATGCCGAGCACGTGCCAGTCCACGCCATTTTCCGACTCCCATTACGACAACGGGTACGACACCAACCTCAGCCCCCCTAAGTGGATCAGGGACAGCCTCGTGCAGGCCTTTCGCAATGTCTACCACAGAGCGGAGTTAATCCAGGACGTTTGGATGGCCATGGAGACGTACAACCCAGAGGGCAAAGGAGCGGGCCAACTTTTCAGCGACGTTAACGAGATCTTGACCACGGAGGCGCAAAAGCACTACGGCCAGACGCCCAAGCCGACGACCGAGTACGAACGACTACGAGATGACCGCATGCTCCTACTACGCAAACGACGAGAAGCCAGAGCCGCACTCCTCGCAGAGCATGCAGGTACCACACCAGTGGCTGCGCGCCGGATCGCAGATCCCGAGTCACCCCCACCGACCCGATGGGGCCGCCAGGGCGGGGTTGGAATCCAAGGGGCCGAGACCCAGGGAACGCGCGACAGCAACCCACGCGCCGATCCAGTGCCAGCACCCATCGCAGAGAGCGAATCTAAGACGCGCGACTTGGAGGCATAACTTCGAAGTATCACGAAACGGTGCCGACGTGAGGGGGATGGAGTACCAGAAGCGCACGGAAGCCAGGATCGAGGATATGTACGAGGCATGGGAACAGAGAGATTTGGCGCGAGTTGGACGATTGTCAAGTTTGATACCAGGAGGACGCGATGGGCCAAGAAACGCGATTACTGGACGGCGACGACGGCGAACCCCAGCAAGCGCGAGTGGGTGGAGTTTTGGCAGCAACCGGGAGGGGCAGGAGGCATGGGCGGCACCGAGCAGGGCCGCGAGACCATCAAAGAGATACCGCGCAACGCAGAGGAGCACGACTACTGCGGGGGCGACCTCGAAGAGAGGGTGGAGGAGGACTACGCGAAGATCGCGAGGTCACTCAGACGAGCGCGGCTACGACGAGCAGCACCACCTACAGCAGCACCATCGGAGATCTGGCGATTATTCCCTGGCGACCACGCACGCGAACAACGGCCGCTGCGGCGACAAGGGCTTGGGCGCCGCCGCGACCGCCGCGAACCGGAACACTTCAAGCGTTGATCAAGGCAGCCCGGGCGGCCATCTGCATCCGCGATGTGGCGCCAGTCCGCCGGCGCCAGAGCTCGGCGACCGCAGTCAAGAAGAACGCCCAAGGTAATCTACCACATCATGGGCCCGTATGGCAAGGCGCACTACGCGGCAGGGATGCGGCGCCAGAACGCCATGACCTACAGCGACCAGGACTGCGGCTTCATCAATGGCATGCGCCGTGAGGGAGCGACCCTGACCATGGCGGTGGTGGAGTGCAGGGCTAGACAGTCAGGCTACAACTGCGCGCCCACCATAACAGACATATCCAACGCCTTCGCGAGCTGCTCGTGGATCACCATGGACGCCGCCAACAGAAACATCATGCCAGAGGGCCTTTGGGACACAGGAGAGCAGCGCTACCGCGGGGCCGCGTTCGAGGTGGCGCGCAGGGGCAGGGGGCGCGGGGCGTGCGTCGAGCCCCGCTGCGGAGGACTCATTGGCGACCCGTGCATGGTCAACGACTTCGTCGCCAGCTTCGCACCGCGCGCGCGCCGGTGGGTCCGAGATTGCAGCGGGGCGATCGCCAGCGACGACCTGCTTTGCGGAGAGAGCGAATTATTTCAGCATCCAGTCTATGTGGGACTCACGAAG